CTCTGACCCTCCCCCCTCTCATGTGCTCTCTCTCTCTCATTCTCTCTGTCTCAAATAAATAAATAAAATCTTTAAAAAAAAAAAAAAGGTAAATTACATAACTATATGTATCACATAATCGCATTTATTAATAAAGTATGGCTCATATACTTATCACATAAATTTATAACATGCAAATATTACAACACACACACACACAAGATATTTCAAAGAATATGGAATACATACCAAACTATTAATGGTGGTTACCAATGAGGGGAGTGATATCTGCCTAGGAGAAGGGGTGGCCTCCAATATCTACTTTATTTATATGTATTTCTGACATTTTAAAATGAAGATTAATTAGTAATATTTTTGAAAACTCAAAAAGGAATTAAGTAAAATCATTTATGCTTACATTACATGTGACTGCTAAGGGCAAATCTGAAACCAATTCAAAGACAGCACAAATACATTTCTGTTTGTCTCAAAACACTCATCTGTTGTTTTTCCTAGACAATTCTCCAGGTAGCTCTAGATGCAGTGCTTTATTTATATTTACTTCATTAGAAATGACACATTTTTTTTAGCATCTATAGGGGAGTGGTTTAAGTATTACAGAAGCAAATGCTCATTGACTAGATTTTAAACTACTAACCTTTATGGATATGATAAAATAAGGACAATACCACTTCATATTTTTATGTTAATGTTTTACAGATTTCAAAGCACTTTCCAATATATTATCTCAGTTCCCAAAACAGTGCTGAGGCGGGGCTGGCGGAGTACCGAAATATCTCTTAATTTACAGATGAGAACAATGAGGTTAAGGAAGTTGAACAGCCTTTCTCAAGGTCATACAGTCATTAAGTGAAAGAGCCAGAGCTAGACCCCAAGTCTTCTAATACATAGTCAAGTGCTCCCTTTCTCTACACAACCCTCTGTAAGGGGATGGATGAATCTTAGAGGAAATAAGCCAAAACCTCACCTCAGTTACAGAGACCTCCATAAGACGAGTGATGGAGTCTTGATGGCTTACAACACCATAGAGCCAACTTTCTTCCCCCTCTGGCTGGTATACTTTGACCCTGTGACCTTGGACACTGTAGGGACCTAAAGAAGAGATTAGTCAGTACTGAATATGTTTGGCTGAGTTACAGTTCATGACTGTTTCTGAAAGTATAAGGAAAACTATATGGTGTAAATATTTAGCCTTTCCAACTTGTAAGGAGATGAATAAATGAGCAATTTCAGATTTACCATACTCAGCAATTCAAAAACAAAAGACAGTTTTTCCTAGTGATCTTTGTAAATTCTGTTTATTTGGAGATTCCTTAGCATTTCCCAGATCTGATTTCATCTTATCTCAATCTTCCAGTTGCAGAAGTAATACAGGAAAGAGAAAGAAAACTTACAAATAAAAACTACAGGTAGTAAAAAAATCTATCAGACATATCTGATCTGACATACATATAAAAAACGGAAGGCCAGTAAGTTGAGTATACTATTATGTTAAGTGACCATAGGAATGATAGATAATCATTTACACTCTGCTGACTTTCAGTAACAGTAGGTGGAGAGTTCAATTTATGAGGTTTCCAGCCTCTGCACTAATAATAGTCTGAACAAATATAGCACCTGTCTTCCTAGGAACACAGAGTTTTAAAGATATTACTTTATCAGCAGGTAATGTTACCCTGCAATTTCAACTGTCCCTCCAAGAAGAACAGTTTCTCTTGAAGGACAGTTTCTCTCTTCTCCATATCTCATATATTTGAGACTATATAGTTAAATCATTACTGATTTTAAATTATTATCTTTCACAACAATAATTGTTTCCTCAATTTTTCTATACATACTCCCATACATCTCCACCTCTCATTCTGTCCACTCAATTTTCCTCTCTCTGCTATCAATTTTACCTCACATCCCTTCTGCCTCCATTTCTCCTTGATTATTAAACATCACTTTATCCTGATACTCTCCTTCTCCCAATAAACCAGTTTACTTACCTTTACCCATTCAGATACAGTTTGACAAAAGAGAATCAAAGACTCTATTTCACTGAAAATCACAATTTTCAAGAGGTTCAGAATGGAAGAGGAATAGATGTACAATATGAAGGGAAGGATAAAGAGTCTATTCTTTAATAATGTGGAATCTTGGGCAAATCTGTATCTGAACTGGAAAAAGCTAATAATTCTTTTCTTATCATTCTTAAAAAAATAACATGTTGTTAATGTGAAGGAGTCTGTGGACACCTTCTTTTATGAACGTACTTGCACTCTAAGATGTTATTTATGTTAACAGTCTTTACTCCTTGAGAACCTCACAGACACTGAGCTCAATAAGGGCAGAGATTTTCTAGCTCTACTACCTTAACACTGTGTCTAGTACAAGGTCTGTCCTTTTTTTCTTTCCAAGTGGAGCCCAGTACAGGGCCTGAACTCATGACCCTGGGATCAAGAGTCAGATGCTTAACCGACTGAGCCACCCAGGCGCCCCCAAGGTTCGTCCTTAATATTTAAGAAATGGGAAAAAAAACCCAACAGAACAAAACTCACAACAAAATTGAATATTATGAAATGTATTTAAAGAGGAAAACAGTGGTCTGAGATCCTATTTTTCCAAACAATTCTAGAGATCTAGCCAACTGCACACTCTTGACTCTCCCCACAAAAAGCAGGACAAATGTTTAGAGTTGCATGGTGTCTTCCCCATTCAATCACTTTCAACACTGATCACATACCTGATTCAGGATTCAAGGACAGAAGACTACCTGTTCTTACCTCGGCTGAATATCTCTTGTAGCTTCTGGTCACTGATCAAAGCATTAACTGTATCTCTCAGTGCAGCATGTTCCAAAAGAATCTGGTTTTGGCTATCTGTTCCCATCTGGTAAAGATAAAAGAAGAAAACAACCAAATACTAAAATGAAAGCAATAGTATCCAACCAGATTAGAAAAATCATACCCTCGAGGAGCTCTACGCCAGCATGGCCCAAGAATGTTCTGTAAAACTCTAGTCTCATGAGATGTTCTGCAAAAAATAATGATGCTAGGATCAGTTAGATTTAGGAAATATTATCTACTCTATCTTTCTATATACAGTAGTATATTAAAGGCTCTGAGAAAACATGGAAGAAAAAAATTTGTTTTGGTCAGTGTTTCTCATACATATCTGATCACAAAATATCTTATTCCATGTAACTCTTTTGGCATATTTTGGTATTTATCCATTTACTGAGTGCCTACTCACAGAAGCACTAGTATGGCAAAGATGAAAAAAGCAAGGGTGGTGAGAGGAAGTGAAGCCTAAAGAGGAAGGAAGACATATCAACAAAGAAATCATCATTAATATTTCACACAACACAGTTAAGGAAATACTGTCCTTGGCTGATTCAGTAAGACAGCAAAACTCTTAGAAGTCTCCTAATTTCTGGGGTGCCTGGGTGGCTCAGTTGGTTCAGCGACTGCCTTCGGCTCAGGTCATGATCCTGGAGTCCCGGGATCGAGTCCCGCATCGGGCTCCCTGCTCGGCGGGGAGTCTGCTTCTCCCTCTGACCCTCCCCCCTCTCATGCTCTCTCTCTCTCTCTCAAATAAATAAATAAGATCTTAAAAAAAAAAAAGAAGTCTCCTAATTTTTATTTCTCTTTTTTTTTTTTTTTAAAGATTTTATTTATTTATTTGAGAGAGAGAGAGAGAGCATGAGAGGGGGGAGGGTCAGAGGGAGAAGCAGACTCCCCGCCGAGCAGGGAGCCCGATGCGGGACTCGATCCCGGGACTCCAGGATCATGACCTGAGCCGAAGGCAGTCGCTGAACCAACTGAGCCACCCAGGCGCCCGAAGTCTCCTAATTTTTAACCTTCAGACAGTAAACCTTACAAGTGAGAAATAAATATTACCACCCATAAATTCTGAAACTCTAACTCAGATGCTAGTTTGTTTAAACCACTAACTTATCCCTTTTCTTTGTAAGTAGAGATAAACTTAAGCTCTTCAATATCTTTTTTTTTTAAAGATTTTATTTATTTACTTGAGAGAGAAGGAGAAAGAGAGAGCACGAGAGAGGGTAGGGTCAGAGGGAGAAGCAGACTCCCCGATGAGCAGGGAGCCCGATGTGGGACTCGACCCTGGGACTCCAGGCAGTCGCTTAACCAACTGAGCCACCCAGGCGCCCTAAGCTCTTCAATAGTTGATGCTGCTTGGAATCAGCCCAAACTTCCAGCTTCTCTGCCACTGACCTAAGTATATAGGCACCCTTTAGTTATACAAGGAGCCACCTCTGGGAAGCCACCTTCTGAGAAGACCCTTAGAATTGTGATCTTAAGTCTTTTTTTTTAAAAGATTTTATTTATTTATTTGACAGGGGTGCCTGGGTGGCTCAGTCGTTAGGCGTCTGCCTTAGGCTCAGGTCATGATCCCAGAGTCCTGGGATTGAGCCCCACATCCAGCTCCCTACTCTGTGGGAAGCCTGCTTCTCCCTCTCCCACTCCCTCTGCTTGTGTTCCCTCTCTCGCTGTGTCTCTGTCAAATAAATAAATAAAATCTTTTTTAAAAAATGCCTTTTTATTTATTTGATAGAGAGAGAGCACAAGCAGGGGGAGTAGCAGAGGGAGAGGGGGAAGCAGGCTCTCCACCAAGCAGGGAGCCTCACATGGGGCTCGATCCCAGGACCCCGAGATCATGACAGGAGCTGAAGGCAGGCGCCCCTGTGCTCCTAGGTCTTAAGTGGTTTCAGGGTAGGGTGGGGTGTGCAGGAGAGGAAACAAGCCTCAGCTAGTGAATAAACTTCCAAGGTAGCAGAGAAACTTTAAAAGGCACAGGGAGGGATGCCTGGGCGGCTCAGTCGGTTAAGCGTCTGCCTTTGGCTTAGGTCATGATCTCAGGGTTCTGGGATTGAGCCCCACATCATGCTCCCTGCTCAGCAGGGAGTCTGCTTCTCCCTCTGGCTGATGCTCCCCCTGCCTGTGCTCTCTCCCTCAATATATAAATAAATAACATCTTTTTAAAAAATTATAATAAAAGGCACAGGGAATTATTGGGAGGAAGTACTTCTTTCAATGCTAAAAGGGGGAACATATTTTTATTCAACAAAAAACTAGCAAGGAGAAAAATAAGTTTAGAACTAGAACAAGTTTTGGGGCGCCTGGGTGGCTCAGTTGTTAAGCGTCTGCCTTCGGCTCAGGTCATGATCCCAGGGTCCTGGGATCGAGCCCCACATCGGGCTC